GGTCTTCACCTTGTGCAACATCACCTCTTCAGTCCAAATATATATATATATATGTATATACACGCTGTTTGCTATGCGGCGCATTCTTGTCATCTGCGATGCAATGAGTCTCTCGGTACGAGACTGGCTTGCCGAACAAGACGCGAGAGTGCCGTTGACGCCGTCGACGCCGTCGTCTACCCGCGTCCGCAGACACCCGCAGACCCGACATAGAAGTGAGAACCTGATAAGATGGCGGATTTAGAATGTCGATGTAGGCTTCTTTTGTTTGCCGTCCCTAGGAGACCGGTGAGGCTGGCCGGCCTGGCTAATGAACAAGACTCGAGACAGCACAGGCAGAGCCATCTGCAAGCTTTCTCGCATTTCCCAACTTCGAACCATGCAAGCGGAACTGGAGATGAGCTCCTCTGTGTCGAGACCTTGGAGACACATTGTTTGGACTATTGTTGGTGGATATCCACACATGATGTGTTCCGGACTTCAGATGTTCCAAGACGAGAGATTCTGAAGAGCTCTCACAAGTGAAAGGCCTTCATGGCTACGCGGTTGCTTCAAGACCATTCTCAGATTCGTTTGCACTCTCATCGTCACCATGTCTAGGTATTCTTCTGGGTACACGGGAGCACAAGCTGGACAAAAGAGTGCCGTTCAAGTGTATCCTTATATGTACAGTTAATCTGCCGAAGCATTGATCGGCCGCCTCGTCAACCTGACCCAAAAGTCTCTCGCGACGAAGAAAATGGCGCTGAGTGTCTTGATGGGCCTTTCCGGGTTCATGATGGCGAAGTCGTATCTTCTCAAGAGCTGGTGGTGTTGGTCATTAGCTCCCGATCACCCGCAACCAGGACCAGGACCAGGCTGCATGTACTCACCTCAACGAAGACCTTGTTAAGCTCCGTGATGGCGATCGGTTTCCCAAGGCACGAGTACTTGCCGTGGCCGAAACTCGTGTCAACCGCGGCATTCATCCTCCTCAACTCGTCCCTGTCTGCGCCGAGCCACCGTTCCGGCCGGAAGACGTCGGCGTCGGGGCCCCAGACCCCCGGCGAGCGCCCGACGCCGAAGAAGTTTTGCCCCACCTGCGTGCCGCCGGGGACGAAGTAGCCGTTGAGCACGTCGCCGCCCTCGGGCGCCTGCTTGAAGCCGAGGCCCGTTACGGGGGGGTAGAAGCGCAGGCCTTCGCGGATGACGGCCTGGAGGTAGGGCAGCCTCAGGGCCTCGGCGTTGGTGATGGGGGCGCTGATGGCGCCGGCCGCGACGGCGTCGTCGATCTCCTGCTGGAGCCGGCGGTACGCGGAGGGGTTGCTGATTAGGCAGAGCAGCGTCATGCGCATGGCTTGCGCCGCCGAGTTTGTTCCGGCGATCCTGGATGAACGGGGGATGAGCGGCTGGCTTGTGCGTGAGCCACTGCGGGTTTGGCTCGGGAACTTACATGTGGATGTACACGAGCTGGGTGAGCTCATCCCGGCCCAGGCCCTGGTTGATAAAGGCTTGCATCATGTCCTTTTGCGGCCTCGCTCCCGGCTGAAGCCTCATTTCCGCGTAGCTTTTGGCAAGGCTGCGCGTCGTGTCAGTCGTCCACGGCGGTCGCCATCACAGCTCTGGCGCGCCTTCATCGAGAGCTGCGCCGGGGATCACTCACCCCATCAAGCGGCCGAAGCCGACCTGGTCGCCCTCGTTCGGCAGCATGAGGCGGAAAGGCCACCTGTGGACGAGCCGGCCCAGCCAGGGGAGCACCGAGACGAGGTTCATCACGGGGAGAGACGACTCGTTGATCTCGCCGTACCGGAACAGGTCCCGGTCCTCGGCGAGGAACCCGAAAGCGCCGCCGAAGGAGACGTCGCCGATGGCGTCGAGGGCAAAGAACTGCGTCTTCTCGGCGAGGTCCAGCGGTCGGAAGTCCGAGTCCGTGGACACGTAGTGCCGGTCGATGAGCCGGATGAAGTTCATCAGCTGGCGGTCGATGCCCGTCTCGAAGCCGAAGCTTTCGTTCTCTTTGGCAGCGTACTGGTGATGTTGTCGCTGGGGGTCAGCTACCGAGACTCTCTTGGAACTGCGCCCCTCCCCCTTCTCCCCCATGTGAAATCCCCCGCGACCGGAGCTAGGGTGCAAGTATGACTTACGGCCGGAGCCATCCGCGCCCTCATGGCTTTGTGTTCATCCTCATCCCGCATCGAGACGACATTGTCGACGCCCGGGGTGATACGGCCGGAATCGTAAAAGTCGCCCTTGGTATACGGCGACCGGACGGCCGACATCTTGCGCAGCGTATCCGGGTCTGTGCAAAGCAGCTCATTTGGACCGATTCGTACGAGGGGCCCTGGAGCCATGATAGATGGACGGGTTAGCCTCCTTTCTCTGTGCTTCCCCCCCCCCCCCCCCTCCCTCAAATACACAATGCATGGCGCATTCACGGACGCAGACCAGAGTTGGCAGCATTGACCGAGTAAAAGAAACACACAGGCTGTGTGGGAGATATCGCGGCCAAAAAACTCACCATACTTCCTGGCAACGTCGTTCAAATGCTCGTGGTACGTGCCTCCGACGGCCTTCTTCAGCTGCCACAAGACCGAGACAGAGGCGACAAAAGGCCCGGGGATTTTTCGCAGCCGGTACCACGACCGGAACTCCCACACGAGGAACGCGATCGCAGCGGCCAAGCCGACCAGCTTGACCAGCAGCAGGCCCGATGCGTCCGAGCAGGGAGCGGTTTCGGATCCGCCGACATCCCCTATGAAGGAGGAGTGCACCCCCGCCATCTCTCCGAATCGATTGCTTCGTCGCTGCCCTTGTCCAACCCTGTCGTCGTCTCGGCTGCAAACGGGGTTCGGCGGTTCAGCAGCCCGAGGGAGAGAGAGAGAGAGAGACGCAGGGAAAGTGGCAAGTAACGGGCTGTTGTCAGTGGTGCATGTCTGGGTTGCTTGTCGTCCCGTTCGCTCGCTTTCGCGGTGTCGCTATTCCCTTTGCTCCCGGATTGTCGCCGCGTTCGATGATTACCAGGTCAATCCCCTCAAGTCCCGAGTCAGATTAATCATCAGTGTTCTCTGTTCTCAAGGTCGTTTCCCTTTCCGTATTGTATTGTCCCGTCGCCGTGTTCCAACCCCCTGTCGAGTTGTTGGTCGGTGTTGGTTTCTCTGTCCGAATCCGTCACTGTTTCCTTTTCGCGGACCCGACGGTGTGGTAACGAGTGGGTAAGATGAGGCAGAGCAGCGAGACTCGATTGGGGTGTGTGTGTCCCAGGACCAGAGCGTCGGTGCAAGACAAACAATGCCAAGGGTGGGCCCGTGAACTTGGCACGACAGAGGATTGTGAACAGCAAAGGTCGAAATGTGGATGGATCGGAAGATGGGGAGAGCATCTACGGGGGGGAGAGGGGAGCAGCGATACTTAATCGATGGAAACGCCATTTAAGTTCCGACAGGTGCCCATGGCCTGACTCTGAAGAACCGAATGCGGCTCGGGAGACTAGGTGGAATAAGGAGAGGGCGAGCAAGCCGGGGACAGGCCTGGATCGAGCTGAACCCTACCACGGAGAAGCAACGCTAGGTGAAGCAGAGCAGAGCAGAGCAGAGCAGCAGGTAAAGGAAGGGAAGGGTGAGATGCACACACGGCGCCTCGCCTCGCCTCGCCTCGGCATTTCCTCATTCCAACACGACACGAGCCCGTAGGCTGAGTGGCTTCTTGGGACGGACGGACGGACGGGCGGGCGAGCTAGCCAGCAGGTCATGGGGCTGACCGAAGACATGTCAAGATTGGCCTAGTCAACCAGTACCATACCTATTAGACTGCAGAATGGTACGAGAGGGTGGGTGGCGGGGCCTGTATAAGGTGGTGGTGAGACTCTAATCGCCGTAGCATCGACGAATTCCACACCACCCTCCGATCCCCCGAGATCCGGGTCTCCGTGGCTCAATGTCTTTGTCCTCGCTGCTTTGTCTCTGCCCGGGGCCCAGCTCCAGACCTAACCAGAATGACCTCACGCTAGCTAGCTAGGCAAGCAGGCACGCCGTCTCTCATGTCACATATGCATGTTGACAATGCGGACTGTCGAATGGCTGGCTGCTTGCGACAAACGCCGTACGATCTCACCGGTCACTCAATCTCACCCCATTCAACGCCCTGAATACTCTTTTGGGTCCCAACTCATCACTGTTCTTCTACTACTGTTAATGTTACCGTGCCCCCCCCCCCCCCCCCCCCCCCCCCCCCAAACTAGTTCGTCCCAACCCTGGACCTGTTACATGTCAGGTTGCATCAAGAACTGCGCTAGAATGACGCCAGTCCATGCGGCCATGACCCCAAGTCCCTGCGACTGGGGTGTCATTATTGGGCAACGGCCGCTTAAACCGATTTACCTACCTACCTATATTGCTCTGTATTCTGCGTCCCCATCAGAGCCTTGGATAATGCCCCCCCCCCCCATATCCATGAGGCCATCTCCCTTGAATGTTCCCTTGGATGACACATTGCTGATTCACTTGGTTCTGCATTTGATGTGATGCAGTAATCACAAGTCGCTAGAATACCCGCCATCACCTTGAATGTGATGTACGGCCAATGGAGAATAACCGATAAAATCAAACATTGTTGTTGTAACCAGTGCTTTCTTTCATTGCTCAACGTTTCAAGTCGCAATCAGTGCCGAACCCGTTACCGTCACTTCAACTAGGCCTCGATATGCCTGGAAGGCAGTAAATCTAGATGACAGTCGATACGAATGAGATTGCGGCATTCAGCGCAAAAGTAACGCGCCATAAAAGGTCCTGTGGACTCTGATGAAAGAAACCTGCTAGGAGGAGGCTTTCCCTATGTACGACTTTATCTATTATCCCTATCCGGAACCGGGACAAAGCCAACCACACCTACCGATCTCTGGCTTGCATGCTTGCTTGCTGCTTTCAGTAAGCAAAAGGCAAAAAGATGGACGATCAGGGAATCGAACCCTGGACCTACCGCATGCTAAGCGGTCATTATACCACTAAACCAATCGCCCATGTGGATGATCTAGCCCGGACTTGAACCGGAGACCTTCAATGAACCGGACGAGAGAGGCGAGGCTCTCGAGCTGTTAGACTGACGTGATAACCAACTACACCACCAGACCATGTTGCTTGATGTTGCTTGATGACTCGGTGGCGAAAGAGAGGCAACTTGAAGGCCTGGCTGGCAGCGTGTGGGATGCCGAACGGTTGATGATGTGTGGGGGGCATCGTGAAGCGAGGGTGGGGTTGGAGCAGAATTCTCATCTGCACTGACCGTGTGGGAACACACGATGTAAGCTCAAAGCATGCAACGTCGATCCATTTAATTAAACGCCTTCAAGATGCATTGTGTCCCCCCCGGAGCGATCGGAGGGACCGTGTTGACCATGGACTTTTCCGTCATGCCGTCGGGAGACATACGAGGCATTAGTTGACGGCCGTCTTTCATAGCGCCGTTCTTGTGACATGTCTGTCTACTTCAATGTCAGATCACCTGACCCCGTTGGTCGACAGTTGGATGGCAATCGTTTGACGCAAACAGGGCTTGCGGATGAGCAAGACCCTGTCAGATATCATGGTGTGTGTGGATACGATTATCGTTCAACAGAGACCTGCTTTCGCCAACATATACTCGCCGCGAACTGTCGACGTGTCCCTTCAACGTCTGAAGGAAATGTTTCACTTCACTCCGCCCTTCCGGATTGTTGCTTGCAAGACATTGAACAGGTAAAATAACCATCTGTTCTTTTTGGGGCTTCAAATTTGGAAAAACCCCACCATGGGGGGGTTGGGATTCATGTCTGGGCGGCGACAAGGTGAAGACTCATGCTTGGTTCTGCAACGAAGCTAGGCAAGGTCGCTCTTCACAAGGCTGATCATGATTCAACCGCCGCTCTCTTGGGCGACTCTCACCGACATCTCGTTGGCTATAGTTACCCTGGTGACGCCGCAAAAGAAAAGGAAGAGAAAAAGAGAAAGGGGAAAGAAAAAAACCCCCAAGAAATGCTCCTACAACGTAGTTATCGAATGTAGACCCCCCTTTCGGACCGGCAATGTTGCTCTGGAGGCCCTTTGCTAAAAGTATCGCGCCCAAAGGCATCCGGCTCACAGGGACAACCGAGTAGCTCGTGACGACTTTACGCACCTGCGCGGTCTTGTATGCGATGGGTGAATGTGGTTTGAAAATGCACAATTTGATTGCCTAGCTATGCTGTCGCTTACAACGTCTGCTATTGGAACACCACCAAATGCTGCGTGATTTTAGTCTTGCCGACTTGTCTAACGATGCGTCTCTGGAGAGGTTTCCCGACGTTTACTCTTCGTCCTCGTCGTCGTCCTCCTCCTCGTCCGCGGCCTCGGTAG